TGATGGAGAAGATGTTAGCTCTAGACGAAGATGAACAAGATTGTGTTGTCACTACCAATGTCGTCTACAAAGAGGTTTCAATAATGTGTAAATATAATCGATAATATTATTTTTTTTAAATGAAAAAAATTGCTATATATCTAGACAATATATATATATATATATATCTTCCATACAAATGAATATGGATAGCAATTCATTTCTATAACTGAGTTGTTAGAGAACAAGCACATTTACCTAATGTATGAAAATACTAAACAATGATAAATAAAATCTTCAAAATTATAGGACCGCATCCGTACATCTAGACATTAGCTATTAATTTGAGCAATTATTTGCACAAATTCAAGCAATGATAACATCAAAATATATAAACGATTCAAATCATATCTTTAAGTGCACTATATAATATTTGACGTTCTAATTTAAATAATTATTTATCGATTCATATATTCTTAATATATTACAACATATTCATTCCGTGCATCGCACGGGTGCAAATACTAGTAATAATAATAATAAAGAATTAAATACGATGTCAGTTATTCATTTAACTAGGCCTGTGCACAACCCGACCCACCCGTTCAAACCGACCGACCCGACGACCGAGAGAGACCAACCCGGAATGACCCGAACCCGACTCTCATTACCCGATCCGCCATGCAATACGGCGTCGGTTTAGAAGGTTCGGGTGGGGTATACAATTTTGCCAACCGACCCGTCCGAATACCCGAACTATGCTAGGGTTCCCTAAGGCTTTGTATTAAACGGCGACGTTCCATCAATGTATATATATATTCCTTCCAACACTTGGTCTTCATTATCTCATCTGCGCAGCTAACCTAGGGTTTGAGATCTGAGATCGCATCTCTCATTCTCTCGACTCTCAACTCTCTCAGACTCTCACTCTCTCAGTCTCTCAGACTCTCAGAGTCTCACTCTCTCAGAGACTCAGAGTCTCAGACTCTCAGTCTCTCAGAGTCTCAGTTCTCTCAAGACTCATCAGTCATCTCTGATTCTGTAAATCCGTAAGGTAAATCTCTAATCTCTTAATCTCTAATATCTTAGTCTCTATTTCTCTAATCTCTAATCTCTTACAGTCTTACTCTCTAATCTGTAATCTCTAAATCTCTAATCTCTTAATCTCTATTGTCTAATCTCAGGGTTCTCAGAATCGAAGCGTTGCAATCTCTAATCTCTAATCTCTTACTCTCTGTCTCTGTCTCTCTGAGAGTCTAAGTGGTGGAAGCCGTGGTGAACTGGTGATTAGAAGCCCTTGTTCTCCGGGGATTATTTGGGAGAAATCAAGTAAATCGTAAACCCTAGTTTATATTAAGAAAATGTTTGTGACTTTGTGTTATATTATATCATTATGATGATATGTGGTGAATATTTTGAGAAAGCAGTGTGAAATCGAAAACCCTAGTTTTATATATCTTCATTTATGTGAGATACTGAGATGTATTGTGTTCTGTCTTTTCTACAATGAGTCTGTGATGAATATTTGGTGATATATTCATATATTATGCTATTTGTTGGTGGAAGCCTTTTACAAACTAATTTCTAAGTGTTGATTTTGTGAAATCTGAATTTTATTCCATGCAAATTTGTAATCTACCAATCCGAGTTAAAGGCTAAAATGTGAAATCTCCAGTGTGTGAATTTCCATTTATTGGTGGAAGCCCTTAACTCAAATCCAGATAATGATGATCTGGACTGAGTTCCTGAATCTGGATTTGTTTGTATAATTGTATATGTTATTATGTCTATCAGTTTATGGATGTATGACCCTTAATTGCTAATTGTTAAATCTGGAAAAATGATGACACAAACTACTATGTCCATGTGTCTGATTCTGGATATCTTTGTATGTTTAATTGTTTATTATGTAATTTATGTGGTAGTTTTAGTGTTAATGTGTTATGTCACACTCACACAAACTGAAAAGTGAAAACTGGTACCCATCTTTGTAGATGGAAAGTGCCACTCAAATGACTCAATCTGGACTTCCACCCTCAACTGAGGAGGGGCCTGGAGGAGTAACCCAAGGCACTGAGACAAATGCTCCTCAGCAGCCTGAGGTTAATCCTGCTGTTCCTGCACAGAAGAGGAAGAATGTGGAGTCTAGATCTAAGGTCTGGGAACATTTTGAAAAGATATATGATTCTGAAAACAAAGTAGTAAAGGGGAAATGTATATACTGTGCTAAAGTCTATCACTGTGAGAGTAAAAAGCATGATACTACCTCTTTAAGAAATCATATGTTGGCTTGTCTAAAAAATCCACATTCTAAGGAGATTAGGCAGTCACTGCTTACTTTCACTGCTATGACAACATTTGATACTCAAGGGGGTGGGGGTTCTGAAGGGGTTGTTGGGGAGTTAGGGACTTGGATTTTCAATCAGGAAGCCATTAGGAGGGCATTATGTGAGATGATAATTATTGATGAGCTTCCATTTAGGTTTGTGGAGGGGCAAGGTTTTAAAAGGTTTATTTTGGTTGCTTGCCATAGATTTTGTATACCTTCTAGGTGGACAATTTCAAGGGACATTTACCAAATTTACCTTGATGAAAGATTAAACCTCAAGAAGCTGTTTAGACTTAACACTCAAAGGGTCAGTTTGACAACTGATACCTGGACCTCTGTGCAGAGGATCAATTATATGTGCATTACAGCCCATTTCATAGATGATCAGTGGAAGCTGAATAAGAAAATCATATCCTTTGTCCCTATTTCTTCTCACAAGGGTGAGCATATAGCCAAGGCATTAGAGAGTTGTTTGATTGACTGGGGGATTAGGGATGTTTTTTCTGTCACTGTTGATAATGCTTCTTCCAATGATACTGCTATTAGTTTTTTTAAGTCCAAATTGTTGTCATGGGGTGCAACCACTGTTAGGAGTAAGTACATTCACATGAGGTGCATAGCCCACATTTTAAACTTGGTGGTCCAGGATGGGTTAAGGTTTGCAGATAGTTCTATTAAGAAGGTGAGGGATTCTGTTAGATGGATGAGGAACTCACCTGCAAGACTCAAAAAATTCAGAGATCTTGCAGAACTGCTTGGGGTGGAAGTCAAAAGTTCTTTACAACTAGATGTTCCAACAAGATGGAACAGCACCTACATGATGCTTAGCACTGCCATACAATACAAGGCTATGTTTGATGCATATTCATTGAATGAGCCCTCATTTGTTGCTGATCTGGGTGATTCTGTCCCTTCTTTTCTTGACTGGACTTCTGTTGAATGCTTGGTAGTTCTGTTGAAAGGGTTTTATGAGATGACAATTAGAATCTCTGGTTCTCTATATGTCACCTCTAACAGTTTCTTCAGTGAGATATCTGATTTGAGTTGCATGTTGAGTAGCATGATTGTTGCTGGTAGTGCTACAGAGGTAATAATTTTATATTTTTATCATTTTCAGTGGTTAATCTGATTATTTATGATTTTGTGTATGGTTGTTTGTATTTAATTCAATGTTTTCTTAGGTTATGGGATCCCAAATGAAAAATAAATTTGAAAAGTATTGGGGAGATCCTGAAAAAATGAATTCCTTGATCTTCTTTGCAAATATCTTGGACCCAAGAGATAAGTTGGAATATATGCCATACCAGTTTGAGGAACTGTATGGTAAAGAGAATGGGAAGAAGTGTTTAGAGAATGTCCAAGCTGCCATGGTAGAATTGTTTGGTGACTATGCAGCAACCTACTCTGTCAATGTGCAACAATCATCTTCTGATTCATCTTCTGGTAGCCAACCAGATGTGCCTCCTGTCCAGTCTCATGCCACAATTGGTAGACCTCAAAATATGTTAAAGAACAAACTAAAAAGGCAAAAATTGGAGGCTAGTGGAAGCTATAAAGAAACAGAACTTCAGGTTTATTTAAGTGAAAAAATTGTGGAGGACACTCCTGACTTTGATATCCTTAGGTGGTGGAAGCTAAATAGTGAGAGGTTTCCTACTCTCTCCAAAATGGCAAGGGATATCCTAGCAGTTCCTATTTCCACTGTTGCCTCAGAAAGTACATTTAGTACTAGTGGGAGGGTTTTAGATGCATTTAGGAGTTCTTTAACTCCTAAAATTGTGGAGGCCTTAGTATGTGCACAAGACTGGATGAGGTTACCAAATCAACCAGTTAAGGTTGAGGAAAATATTGATGATGTTGAAAAGCTTGAACAAGGTAATTTCTTTAAATGTTACATTCTGTTTTTTAAATCTTTAACTTTGCATTTCAAATTAAAATTCTAACTTTGCACTTTGCACTTTGCAGATTTGGCTACTGGAGTAAGTCGATTTGGTACCACAGGATCTGGTGCTGCTGGTTTTCCCCTTCCTACCATTCCTGTAATGTTTTATTTACACTTACTTTTGATTTTAATTCCAATTGTTGGATTTGTTGCTGCCTATGGATTAATGGCTTGGTAATTAACTAACAATTCAATTGTTGGATTTGTTGCTGCCTATGATAAGTATGAGTGTATGACCCCAGCAGTATAGCCTTACTGCCTATATGAATGTCATCTCATGATTCTCATCTGGACATCTGGTAATAACAGTCACTCTACCTTAGTCCCTTATTCTCAAATCTCAAGTGCTCAGTAATCAGTATGTTATTTCTCTTTAGTCTTTACTGATTTGGCTATGATGATGCTTCCACCATTGTCTGAAATGGTTTTGGGATGGTATGTTGCTCATTAGTTTTGGTTTGCATAATTGCATTCCAATACTAAAAGTAGCAATTTGCCCATAATCTTACTTTGACATGAAAACATAGCAATCTGAGCCTTCCATAGTTAAATTTTTCTGCCCAACAGCCCCAATCCCCAAAGTATTTAATATGTTATATTTAACTTGTACAGGAAGATCAAGAAAGCTGAACTGCTGAAGGCTGAATAGACAATACATTATGATTATTGTATTTTTGTTCACAGGAAGATGTTGATTGGTGCAGTTGCAGTTTGCTGAATGCTCAATTGCTGAATAGATAATACATTATGCTTATTTTTTGTTATCAGTTTATCATGATTGATGATTCAATGACTTTGTTTATCATTTTGTATTTTTGTCATTTGTAAGTACTAAGTAGTTGTAACTAACTAAGTAAGTACTTTGACAGTTTGACTGTTTGACAGTTTGAAATCCATGATATGAAATTTTACTTAGTTTTTTTTTTTAAAAAAATTGTTGAATATGAAATCCGAACAAACCCGAAGTTACATCCGAACCGTCCGATATCCGAACCAACTTAACCCGAATGGAGTATAGTACAAAAAAAAGTCGGATAGGATATTAATTTAGAAAACCGAAATCCGAACGGGTGGACTAGTCCGACACCCGAACCGTCCGAACCCGAACTGTGCACATGCCTACATTTAACTGATGTCATATACGGAGTAGTATTTTATTTCTTTTTCTTTATTTTATAGGCATACAACGTCAACTCTGTAGTAGCGCGATCTATTAGTCGTTATGCGTTGGACCTGTGTCCAGCATGCTTGCTGGACACAGGTAACAGTGCTGTTAGGCACTGATATTTCCTTTTTTTTTTAAAAAAAAATTTCAGACGGCTTCGTTATAGGATTATATGTTTATAATTTTATTACTATATTATTAATAACTGTACATTCATAACTCCATAATTGTATGTTTATAAATCTATAACTGTACATTCATAACTCCATAACTGTACATTCATAACTCCATAATTGTACATTCATAATTTTCGAAGCTCTATGTTCACAATTTTAGAGCTCTATGTTCATAATTTTATCACTATATGTTCATAATTGTAAGTTCATAATGTTAGAGCTCTTTGTTCATAATTCGATCAATAACTGTACATTCATAATTCCATAACTGTAGATTCATAATCTCATAACTGTAGATTCATAACTCCATAACTGTAGATTTATAACTCCATAACTGTACATTCATAATCTTCGAAGCTCTATATTCACAATTTTAAAGCTCCATGGTCATAATTTTATCACTATATATGTTCATAATTGTAAGTTCATAATGTTAAAGCTCTGTGATCATAATTTCATAATTGCATAACTGTACATTCATAACGGCATAACTGTACATTCATAATCCAAAAAAAAAAAAAAAATAACGCCGTTAATGCCGTTAACGACAAAATGCGCGCGGTTTTTTTTTTTTAACTAAATGACGCATTTTTTTTGAAAAACGACGTCGTTTTGGGTCCGTGTCCACAGTTCACTGTGGACACGGGTCCAGGGCATAATTTGCCGCGATCTATTTGCAAAATTGTTATGAACTTTTGAAAAAGTTCTCTTCATGGGCTAGGCTGAAGCATACTAAAAATTTCTCCCTTAGGCCCAAATATTGTAGACAAATGCTATATTGGAAGTTTGGCCCCAAGCTGTACATTTAGCATGACTGGAAAAAAAAATTATAGAATCAGTGTACTCCCTGTCATGGGAGGTCTTGCAAATCATGGAAGGGCTCACAATGCCATTGGGTTGCTCAAAGAAATGAAAAAGACCAATGTTAAACCAAATGAGATCACATTATCGGCCTGTAGACATGAGGCTGTAGAGCTGGGCCATCCTGGCCCGGCCCGTGTTTTACCAAAATAGGTCGGGCAGGTCATTTTCTAAACAGGTTGGGATTATGAAACCCAACCTGTCGTCTGGCGGGCTAATGGGCTAGCCCTCCAGTCCGTACTATTTTTTTAAAAAAAATCATTTATTAAAATTAACAAATACACAAAATTAGTCAATTACACTTACAAAATTGTACAATCCTGGCCCAACCAGGGTTTACCAAAACGGGTCGGGCAGGCCGTTTTCTAAACAGGTTGGGATTATGAAACCCAACTTGTCGTCTGGCGGTCAGTCCTCCAGTTCGTACTATTTTTTTTTCAAATCATTTATTAAAATTAACAAATATGCAAAATTAGTCAACTACACTTACAAATTGTACAATTTGTAGCTTTGTAATTAGATTACAATAATAATCTAACATTCTAATTTATAGCAAATTAATAATATATGGTTTATATCAATTATCAAACAAAATTGTAGTTAGTACATTAAATTTTACACAAATATTTACACAATTAAACAAAATTACTAAATTACAGTACTAAATTAGTACATAAAAATTTAAAAATGTTCCAATTCTTCCAAGTTCAAACACAAAATTCAACATTCAAATTTCAAAGTTTCAACTTCCAAAGTTTCCAACACAATAGTGACAATACTCAACAATCAACAATCAAAGTTTTCAAGTTCCAATCGATCAAAAGTCCAAAAGAAGCCAAACACTCAAAACATAATTTAAAATGTTATACAGATGCTCACAGAGTCACAGACTCACAGTAAGCAGTAAGCAACTAAGCATGTAAGACACTAATCACATTATAACTAACATAGTAACATTTTAACAACAAATCAGTTACTCAACAACAATAATAATAAGTAACTAATTACTAAATACTTACTAAATATTGTTTAGTGTTTACCTAGAGCTAGAGCTACTGCCGGTCTGCCGAATGGAGAAGGGAGAAGGGAGACCGGAGACGCCGAGAAGGGAGAACAGAGAAGGGAGACCGGAGCACCTACTGTCGAACGCCGAGTACGGAGTAAGGAGAAAGGAGACCTGGGCTTGCGCCGCTTGCCGTAGCCGAGTTCGAGTACCGTCGCCGAGTACGTCACAGACGGCATTAGAGAATTAGGTTGTCGGTTGTCGCGGACGACATTAATGATTAAGGAATTAGGAATTTAGCATTTAGGATTTAGGGCACAAACACAGTACGCAGAGTGCAGACGGAGACTTAGGAGAATATAATGTTAATTTCATGGAAATGAATATAAGAAAATAAAATAAAAATTTAAATTACATTTGTTAGATAATAATAAAATTTATAGGAATTGAAAGGAAAAAATTAAAATATTCTTTGGTAAGAATAATAATACAATAATCATCATCAAAGATAATGCTATAACTTTTTTTCTTCTTTTCTATTCATTACAAAATTGGAATTTATAGGATGAGATGTATGAATTTCAATCCTACAAATAGAGAAAATTACAATTACAATTCTATAAAATTGTAATTATATCTAATCAAACAATGTAATTGTGCTTCGCAAAAATGTAGGTTGCAGTTAAATTATAACTACATTTAACCAAATGTCTTGTTAGAAAATTAAGAGTTTTTAGTTATAGACTTTTATGCTTTGACAAAAATTTGTGTGAGACCGTCTCACAGGTCACAATCCGTGAGACGGGTCGGATCTTTGATTAATGTGGTCAAAGATCCAATTCATACTTATTCTTTTACGCTTTACTATAAAAATTGTTTCCATTATTTAGTTAGTAGAAAAGAAATTATTGAGAATATTGACTCCGTTATTTGGTTGGGTTAGAATTGTAAAGACTAAAATATAACTACACAATGATAATGATAATAAAAGTAATAAGGGTAAAATTGTCCAATCATGTGATACTTTATTTCCAACTTTAAAAAAAAAAACAAAATATCACACCTTCGTCTTGAAAAACTTTTTCCTCAAAAATAAAAATAAAAAAATCTTGTAGAAAAAGTTTTCCATGAACCAAACGGATGGAAATGTCTTTTTTTTTTTCTTCTCAAATTTAAGGAAAACTTTTTCCTTGAAAAACTTTTGTTAATCTAAAAAAAAAACATGCTTGAAACTGGCCTCAAGAAACCATTAACTATATAAATTTCAAACATTTAGTTTATATTACAAATGTAATTGCAATTTGTGTGTGGGTGTGAGAATGTATTAAAGTGATTTTGTGTTCATAGTGTTTGTCAAAGTAAGTTACTATTCCAACTGTCATCAATATTTGGTTTGGTTTCAAGTTTCAACCATACTTATACATTTATTTTATTGACAATTATAATCAATCTTGACTATATTATCTTGCATTTGTAAACTTAGAATTGCTTATTTAAAAACGAAAATTTAACATTCAATTATCTATGCATGAACAATTCCAATATAATCTTGCATTGATATACTTTAAAGTACTTAATTAAAAAAAAAAAACATTGGACATTATCTCAATCGCGCAATGTGCGTAAAAATCTAGTAATACAATAATCATCATCAAAGATAATGTTATAACTTTTTTTCTTCTTTTCTATTCATTACAAAATTGGAATTCATAGAATGAGCTGTATGAATTTCAATCCTACAAATAGAGAAAATTACAATTCTATAAAATTGTAATTGCATTTAATCAAACAATGTAATTGTGTTTCACAAAAATATAGGTTGCAGTTAAATTATAACTACATTTAACCAAATGTCTTGTTAGAAAATTAGGAGTTTTTAGTTATAGACTTTAATGCTTTGGCAAAAATTTGTTTGAGACCGTCTCACGGATTGTCCGTGAGATGAGTCGGGTCTTTGATTAATGTGGTTAAAGATCCAATTCATTAATCAAAGGTTCAGTCTCACACAAGTGTTACTCTTATTCTTTTAGGCTTTACTATAAAAATTGTTTCCATTATTTGGTTAGTAAAAAAGAAATTATTGAAAATATTGACTCCGTTATTTGGTTGGGTTAAAATGGTAAAGACTAAAATATAACTACACAATGATAATGATAATAAAAGTAATAAGGACAAAATTGTCCAATCATGTGATACTTTATTTCCAACTTTCATAAAAAACAAAATATCACACCATCGTTTTGAATAACTTTTTCCTCAAAAATAAAATAAAAAAATCCTGTAAAAAAAATTTTCCATGAATCAAACGGATGGAAATGTCTTTTTTTTTTCTTCTCAAATTTAAAGAAAACTTTTTCCTTGAAAAACTTTTGTTAATCTCAACAATTAACATGCTTGAAACTGGCCTCAAGCAACCATTAACTATATAAATTTCAAACATTTAGTTTATATTACAAATGTAATTGCAATTTGTGTGTGGGTGTGAGAATGTATTAAAGTGATTTTGTGTTCATAGTGTTTGTCAAAGTAAGTTACTATTCCAACTGTCATCAATACCATCAAAGCTAGAAGATGAAGTGAATAGTACTTCCTCAGCCATCTGAATGATATTCTCAATCTCCCTCACCACCTCCCCCATTGAAGGCCTCTCCGCTGCAGATTCTCGTACACAACTCATGGCCAAGTTCATAAACTTCTGCAGGCCCTTAAGGTTTGTACAAGGTGTGAGAATCACATCTATCACCTGATCAAGTTTTCTACTATTGCTTTGATCATCCATTGCTTCAGACACCACTTTCACTATATGGTTTCCTCGTTCTATAGGAGGTTTTGCAGTTATGAGCTCCAACAGGACCACTCCGAAGCTGTATACATCGCTTCTATCTGTTAGCTGCTGAGTCATGTAGTATTCAGGGTCGAGGTATCCCTAAACATACACAGAATTCAAAAATGTGAATCATCTGAAGCATATTTTAACTAGGGAATGCATATATAATTTTATTTTGTAAAGTTTTTGTGGATGGTTATGTTATGCTCACAAATGTGCCTTTGACTTGAGTGCTGACATGGCCCTTGTCAGAATCTCCCAAAAGTTTTGAAATGCCAAAATCTGCAACTTCAGCATTCAAATTATCATCCAACAAAATGTTACTGGACTTAACATCTCTGTGTATGATAGGAGGATCAGCGAGCTCGTGTAAATAAGCCAACCCTCTGGCAGCATCAAGGGCTATTTTCAGTCTCCTCGTCCAATTTAATTGAAAACCAGACTTTCCTGTATGCACATTATCACACACTTTTTAGTATAAGCACCACTTAGCACTTCTGTTTCACTTGAAATTACAGACAGATGCAATGTTCAAGTACATTAAAGAATCAGAAAATTGATTTACCTGAAAGGCTTTCCCTTAGAGTACCATTTGGAATGTACTCATAAACAAGCATTTGTTCACCTTGCTCATAACAGAACCCCACAAGGTTGACTACATTCTTATGGTGAATTCTGGACAGAAGCTCAATTTCTGTTTTGAACTCTAATGCTCCCTGCAATGATCCCTGCTGAGCTCGTTTGATGGCAACTAACTCCCCTGGGGCAAGAAGTCCTCTATAGACCTGTCAATGATACACATGAGTCTGAAGTCTGAACATATATATATATATATATATATATATATATATATATATATATATATATGGGCACGCTCAGGTGAGAACGGGCGCCCCGGAGAGAAATAAGAACCACTTGCAGTTGTCCACATGTCTAAATCGACACGATATATATATATATATATATATATATATATATATATATATATATATATATATATCCGAGTTCAAGTGCGGCAACCTCCCTAGGTGCGACAGTGCGTCCAGATCTGGTCATTGGATGAGCTTAGATCAATGGCTCAAAATCAATAAAAGGGAAAAAAAGTTACAGCGGCATTCTGGTAATTCCCTGTAATGACTGGTACATTTAGATATGCTTGATGGTGCTTTGAGTCCAAATGTACCGCCAAGCATTTTCATGTGCACCACAAACTTGCACTTTGTGGTGCACCATAGATCACTACTAAATGATCCACATATAAGCACTTAACACACCACATACAAGCACTTAATGCACCACAGGGATATACTTTCTGCAAGAAATTACAAAAACGTCACCACGTTTTTTCCCATTTTCATGCTCATCGAGTGGACTAAATCTGTCCGCACCGTCACACCTGGAGGGGCTGCCATATTTGATTCAAAATATATATATATATATATATATATATATATATATATATATATATATATATATATATATATATATATATAGATAGATAGATAGATAGAGAGAGAGAGAGAAGGGGGGGGAAGGGTTCAGGTGCAGGTATAGCTTCCCGTGCGGTTGACGCACCTTAAGTTTCAACTACTACTCACCTTAAGCACAAAACTCACGCACCTTAAGAACACAAACCACGCACCTAAGGTTTTAAAATGACGCACATTAAGTTTCAACAACTCACGCAACTTAAGCATACAAATCACGCACCTTAAGCTTCAAGTTGACGCACCTTAAGCTTCAATAACTACTCACCTTAAAGCACACAAACCACACACCATAAGTACAAAAATCACGCATCTTAAAGCACAAAAATCACGCACCTTAAGTTTCAACAACTACTCACCTGCATACAACCCATGCACCTTAAGCACAAAAACCATGCACCGTAAGAAAGAAAATCACGCACCTTAAAATTGACCTAGATGCAAAAATTATCAAATTGCCACTGCGTTTCTTTTTAATTTTGGTAATCATGGACGTTGATTTAAGCAAGATCAATGGCTCAAATTTAACCGCACAACCACACGAGAACTGAGAATAAGCGCCTAGGAGAGAATAAGAACCATTTACCACTGTCCACGTGTACAGATCAACGAATCAGATGTAATTTAAAAAAAACGACGCGGTAGCATTTTCGTAAATAACTCAAACTTTGGTGCAAGTACATGTGTTATAAGTGTAAGTAACTGGTGCACCTTTGCAAGTAAAATGTGCAAATAAAATCACTTACAAGTGCAACTAATTTACCTGATTAACATTCGTGCACCTAGATGCAACTAATTATAATGTTAGATGCAACTAGTTATAACGTTAGGTGCAACTAATTATAACGTTAGGTGCAACTAGTATTGATGCTTAGTGTAAATTTTACTTGCACCTGTAATACATTTTACTTGCACTTGTAATACATTTTACTTGCACTTCTATCTGAACACGTGGACGGATGTCATGCGTTCTGAGTTCTCTTTTGGGAGCACCGTTCGCACCTGAACACATTCATATATATATATATATATATATATGGAAGGGTTCAGGTGCGAGTATAGCTTCCCGTGCGGTTGTGCTTGTGCAGTTGACTCAAAAAGATGCACCTTAAGAACACAAACGACGCACCTAAGGTTCTAAAATGACGCACCTTAAACATACAAATCATGCACCTTAAGAAGGAAAACAACACACCTTAAGAAGAAAAACCACGCACCTTAAGTTTCAACACTGACGCACCTTAAACACACAAACCACGCACCTAAGCAACTGCACAACCGCACCTAAGAAGGCCAACAGCACGGGAACCCATTTCTATATATATATATATATATATATATATATATATATATATATTCAGCTTAAAATTATATATAACTCACAGAATGTCAATAATCCAGTTACAATGCATTAGAATGCCTTCATAACTAGGGACTTTTGTATATAGGAAAGCAGAGATAACATTAAATTAGTGAAGAAACATATATAATTAAATATATATGTCAGGATTCCTCGCAAGGAAGGACAAAATCAAGAAAAGCAATCTGTATATATAGCTGACCAGGGTTAAGGCTTGGAATAGTGAGCATTTGCAGTACCTTCCCATAACCCCCATATCCAATGCAATTGGTATCTGAAAAGTTGTCTGTGCATTTCCGTATCATTTCAAATGAGAACCACCTTACTCCTTTAAGTTGTGGAATGCTACCACTCTTATCACCATCCCAAGAGGCTGCATGTATGTGTGTTGTAGACATGTTAAAATAAAGATGAAGATCCAAAAGTCTACAAGCTAGAGAGTAAGTCTTCCTTGATTGAGAATTAATCTTTACCAAAAGGGTCGCTCTTTTTAGTAGCTCTTTTTGCCCTTGACCTCTGGAGAAAAGCATAGATTGCAGAACATACAATTAACATGAACAAAACAGAAGCGCCTACTGAGACGCCAACAATGATGCTGGTATGTGATGACTTGTTCACTCCTGTTATAAGGGAAAGTAAATTTCAGATTCAAGTAAACTAGAAATATTACAATGTGGCTCTGGTATTTGTCTATTACCTCCAAAACAGCAATAATCATCAGCAATATACAAGTATGGTCCATATTGTTGAAGCGGGAAATCTTGATAGTTTAACAGGAAACCGATATCCGAAACTTCAGTTCTGTTGAAAGTATCTTTCCTAAAAGGACAGACTTTCACTCTGAACTGGAGGTATGAATAAACATCAATGGTTGGATCAGTAACACAAACTGAATCCACAGGTAATTCACTGGATAGGAATGCAGACATCAAAGAGTCATCAAGGGTTGTATAATAAGTCCAGTTCTCAAAGTTTGAGAAGGAATAGGAAAAGAAGTGCAGAGTTCCAGTTTGAGGATATGAACACATGCAAGTAGGACTTCGTATTTTGCCTGAATCACAATCTTGGGCAGCAGAACAGGAATTTAGTGACAACAATGGATTGTTGTTCTTCTGGATAAAACAATATTTCTCTGTTGCTTTATTTCCCCTGCAAATGGGATTCCCACTAAGCCTGCAAGAAGTAAATAGATATTACCTTCCAAGGAAATGAAAATGAAGTCGGGGATTATAAAGCAAAGGTTTACAATATGGTAAGCAATATTGAATATTGATCAATCTGAAAACTACAATTTAATTTGTTGGTAAAAAGTGAAAAGATCAGCAAGCTATTTAATATTCTTTCTTACATTATCTCCATATTATATCCAGTTCCCTGTTTAAAATCTGAGATGAAATTATTTTGCAAATCAAGGGTCAAATTTTTGTTGTAGTTGCTGCCTATGTCCAATGTTCCATAAAGATTGTTGTTGGATAACACTCTGTTAAAAATAAAAAATATGTCAGATTCCTGAATAATCACCCAATAAATCATTGCTTTTCACAGAGACACATATCTCAATTCTCAAAAATGAAATTCTTTTTTCTTAACAAAAATGACACTTACATTGTCTCCAATTGAGGAAGGCTTAAGACATCAGGTGGGATTGACCCTTTAAGATTTGTGTTCACCATGTATCTGTCATATTGCATTTAAAAAATACATCTTACAATTCACAAAAGAGGATTGCAGCCACATATATCTAGCCAATTTACAAGTAGTACAAAAACGTACACAATATTTGATTAAAAAATGCAAAGGGTATGAAACTTTGTTACTTCATCCAAATCTACATTGAACATGGGTATGTTCAATCAATATTGCACACTTCATCTGGATGAGGATTACATACTGAATTTTAGTTGGATAAGACCTATAACTTCAGCTTTTTATCTTTTCTTCTTCTTTTTTTTTTTTTTTTTTTTTTTTCATTAAAGAAAGGGGTACAAGCAAAAAAAAGATCATATATTGAATATCTGCAGTATGCCTAATTAACATGTTACAAAAATCCCGCCCAGGCACCGATTAATCGGCGCCTAGGCGCCGGCCAGCCGCCTAGCGTATCACCATAATCGGTGGTCTAGGCGGCCGCCTAGGCGCTGAAGGCACTGACTAGGTCGCCTAGTCAGTCGATTAGCTATTGTTCCCTTCTTTTTTAAATGGGTTATTTCACACAAAACGACATCGTTTTGAGTGAAAGAAATAATCCTAAATTGTTCAAACTCTAGATGTTTTTTAGGTTAATATTTAATATTTTAGTATTAACTATTAAAGTATTAAATAGTTTATAATTATCAAGTCTTAAAAAATTTAAACAAATTTTTAAAAAATAAAAAAATACATGGGCGCCTAGGCGCCCAATTAATCACCGCCTAGCCACCCTAGGCATTAGGCGCCCCCCGAACGCCCGAGGAGTGCCTAGCGATTTTTTCAACTATGCTAATTAATGACTTGAATAGAAAGAGCAAAAGAGAGTATTTTTCATGTCACACACACACTGCTGACAGAGAGACTACATTGTCGTTAACGACAGAAGGCTTAAAAACCATGGTGGAACCTCTGAGGCGTTAAAACTATTATTGCTCAGTTCCCTGCAAAATCAGCGGAGCAAACTGGTTTAGAGAATAATATCTAGTTGCATTAACACATACAAACAGGGAAGCATTTTCTTTAGCCTCTATTTTCATAAGCATTTTTTAAATAAAAAATTCTGTTTTACAAATGATGCTGCAAAATTGAGAGTTGGAAGACCAAACAACTTACAAATAGTAAAGGTTATTCATCCCTGTTAGGTTGGGAGTAGGTCCTGTCAGAATGTTAATAGACAAGTACCTGGAAAAAAAAAAAAAAAAAAAAAAAGAAGGAACAAAAACCAAAGGAAACAAAGAAACATAATTACATGTTACCAAAAATAAGACTAAATGCAAATAAATCCATAATTTTCTCCTCAATGTGCTTACAGCTCATGTAAATTCATAAGGTTGTTAAGGTTGTCCGGAATAGATCCATTTAGTAAATTTGAATCCAGTCTTCTGTTTTGAACAAACCATTCAGAGGACAATAATGTCAAAAGCTGAGGAAAACATACACAAGTATAGCATTTGCAGCTAAGGCAGAGATACTCACACAACTTCTAAAGTCTGCACAAGTCCTAGAGTTTGAGGTATTTCACCACTCAGTTGATTGTGATCAAGAATCCTACTCATGACAAAAGAGCAACATTCTTCATGATAGTGCTACACACACACACACATACACACACAAACACATGTATGTATGTATCCTCAATTAAAATGCATTCATAAACACTCCAATACTCACATTCAAGTTGGATGTAACAAAAACCATATATAGTTTTGAGAACATATATAAAATAATGTCTTGCTTATCTGGCACATACTTACACATGTTTTAGCATCACTAAATGATTGAAGAGTTCCGGAAGGATGGTGCCAGAGAGCTTATTCTTGGCTAAATGGCTGCATGAGAAGTATAGCCAACCTTAATATAATTACTACAAAGATAAGAGGAAGACAAAAGACCTTATTATATCATAAAGTTTTTGAAGAGATGACTTACAAGTGTTCGAGACTGAATAACTGGTCCAAACCAGGTTGCATGTGATTAGAGACTGGGATAGTACCAGTAAGTTCATTATCGCTCAAATCTAACCATGAAAGCGTAGACAAGTTTCCTATTGAATGTGGGATTGACCCATTGAAGCTGTTAGAAGCCAGAGATCTGCACAAAGGCAGTAAAAATTAAATAAATAAATAAATTTTCAGAAAGTTAAATGAGAATAGGGTTCAAGAAAACTACAGTATTAAACATGTAAATCATTTTAAAACTCAATGAAAAACATAATGAAACATGTGATCCCAATACTTAGTAGTGTTGGAGAAAATGAAAGGATCCTTTGAACTAATATTCAATTAAGAAGTAAGAACCCCATACTCATAAACTTTGAGCTAAAATATTGCATTAAAATACTTCAAAATTCTATTGATATTCTTACAAATAAACCAGCCGCTGCAGGGATCCAATTGAATCTGGAATTGGACCAAAGAAACTGCAACCAACTAACATTCTGCATTAAGAAGCAAGAGAACTATTACTTCATACTTCATATCAATTGTAAGCATAGAAGCTGTATTAAGTCCTATTTGACAAATTTCTTACAAGATTCTAAGCTTCTTCAATTTTCCAATCGAAGATGGTAAAGTTCCTTTTAGACCAATGTTGTTTGATAGATCCCTGCACGAAGAATCTAATATTCACCAACTCATCTATGTCTCCAGATAGAACATAATAGAATTGTATAATAATAAGTTACTCCCTCCGTCCCATTTTATGTATCTAGTTCGGTTAACGAGGCTTGACTGAAGTTATTTTTAATTTAATTTTTCATAAAATTAAGTTTAGTATTAGTATACAAAATTTATATATTTAGAAACTACACTAAAAGTACTACTAAACACAAAAAATCAAATTTAAAAATAACTAAAAAATACTAAAGAAAATAAACAAAGAAGAAAGAGTTAGTTTGACCAATGAATAGTAAGTACGACATATAAAATGGACAGAGGGAGTACAATGCAGGGACATACAAGAAATCAGAATGGAAGACTTACAAGGTGTTCAACCATGACAACCCATCTATGCCTCCAGATAGCCGACCACTCAGACTCATGCTTGATAACTTTCTACAATTATGAATAACTGCATCAGCTCTTAATGTTATTGGACTTAAATTAATACATAAGAGGTAAAAGGGAACTTTCTTACATTGAAACCACATGTGAATCAAAGCATTTAATCCCATCCCAGTGGTCCCCACAAGGATCTGAACCATCCCAATTGGGTGGTACATTCTCCCACTCAGTCTTGAGAGAGTTTAGAGCAGCAACTGAAAATCAAAGTGGAGTTTTTTTCTTCACATCAAAATGAATTAAAGAATGGAAAATTCACAGAAAAAGTTATGAAACCAGCTCAGAAAACACAGGATTTAATGCAAAAACAGAATCACAACTCCAATAGCACTCAAAGTGTGCGATACCACTGGCATAATGGCATCTGATAACTGAAATTACTGGAAATTTTCACCGGGGTAGAAATATCCATGATTCCATTCAAATAATAATTTCACCCCAATTAGTAAACACACACTAAAATTCACAAATAAGACATGGTTAAATGCTAGAGCGTTAGACATCCCTAGACCTAGAAATTAATTCACAGAGAAATGATTGAGAAGTCACAGAAGTTATAATGCTAGAGCGTTAGACATCCCTAAACCTAGACAGAATAAGAGGTTGCTAATTGAAAACCCTCATATCAAAATATCCAACAATCGCATATTCACATGGACATTATACTGCAAAAACTCAAAAAGTAACTAGTCTATTCTGTTACAGACCTGCAAATGAGCTCTAAAAAACACAGAACAGAATTTGGGGATAAAGGAAAGAAGGAGTTAAAGAGGAAGAAGAATGGAGGTAAAGAAGATAGATTAGGGTTTATCTCTTTCGAAAGAAATGTCCAGAAGCATAATAATCCTCCAAAAACCAAAAACCTTACAATAAATATCAAAAACAAGTCAGAACAAATCAGAAATATCCTAACCAACTCCCCTTTTCACGCTGAGCATTTTGTACTGTGTTTGTATCCAAACGGCGTCGTTGAGGAGGTTTTCAACTTCTTCCAACGGCTAGCTTCAAACGACGACGTTTAGCTCTTCTCCGCAACGGCTCCAACGACTCCCCTTCATACGCCGTCGTTTAGATAAGTGACTTGTTTATTCGAATTAACCCAAAACGACAGCGTTTTGGTCCTTGACTTTTGATTTAAAGCTGTCTTCTGCAAACTGCTTTCCTGCCTGATCTTTCTCCTTGCTATTAGCCTTCATCAATGGGGTTTCACCTTCTAGAATCATGACATATTCATAATGAATTATAGAAGAAGTCCCAATTCCACACCAAAAACTCTAACAGCATATTTGGTTCCCGTAATGGATCTTGATCTTGAATGAATAAGAATGTTAATAATAAAGAATAGAATAGAATAGAGATTTTATCCATTATTTAGTTTGTTAAAAGAATAGACTCGGTTGCTCGGGAGGGATTATTCTTTCAGGACTAAGCATGGTTACAATAACTGCTTGGCACTAATCCGACAATAGAGAAATATCTAGAGCCTAGACAATATAGGCTAGTGCCTACGGGGCTAACTAAAAAAAATAAAAATAGTGCATGTGTGTGGTGTATATATATGTCATATATATATATAATGAAAAAAAATTAGTAAGGCCGAGCTCACTGGGTTAACTCGATCGAAATAGACGAGTTAACTAGATCGAGTTAGGCATTAAGCGGCCGAGTCAACCAAGTTAGGCGGGGGCCTAGACCGATTTTTACAATAGTGGGAGCAAGTGCGTGGCCACGTATTTTGTATTATATTTTTAAATTTTAATTTTTTATTTTTCGATTTTAATTTATTTTTAAAATTTGTAATTGTATTAATTGTTGGTATATTTAGTATTTAAAATTTTGTATTTGCTTTCAAATATTAATTTGTTCCGTAGATGATTTCGAATGCGAATTTTAATTTATGAAATTATATTTTGATTAGTTTATGAAATTATATTTTATAATTAAAATCTATTTTATTTCCTTATTCAAATTTATTTTTAAAAAATTGTAATTATAATTATAATTATAAAAGTGAAATTATTAATTATAGAAAAGTGAATAAAATAATATATATATATATATATATATATATATATATATATATATATATATATAGAGAGAGAGAGAGAGAGAGAGAGTGAGTGAGTGAGTGAGTGGAGTGTAGGCCTACAAAAAGGTGACAAAAAATGAAAAAGAATTGGAGAAAAAGAGCAATTTTACCTGTCCCATTTTCAACTCCGGGTCATGCTTTGAGTGTTTAATATAAGAGGATGGATGATAATTTTTATCCCTTTTTTTTTTTAATAAAATTTGAACACTTAGGAGTTATACCCTATGGAGTCCATCTATCATTTTCGGGAGAAAAAAAAATAAGGAAGGAGATTATGCATTGATGCGTAGGAATTGGATCTACAAAATGGAGAGATAAAGAGAAAAGGGTTGGAGATGCCTTAATTACGAGAAACAATAAATTATAGGTAAAGTTTTATTATTGATCAATCATTTCTACAAAGTGCATGAACATGTGTATATATAAAATACAAGAGATAGTCGTAGTTATAGTATAACCAATAAAAATAGAGTTACATTAAAACCTAGTTATATGTAGAGTTTTCCTCCTAATTTCCTTTTTTCCAACTAAATGTCTGTAAGGTCAAAATAGAGTAAGAGAGATTTTTCAGAAAACTAAGGGGTGGGGGCAGGCCAGTTTTGGCTGTGTAAATTAAGAGCAGAAGTTTAGCAGGCTGATTAAACTAACATCTTTTGATTATATAGATGAGACTTGAGAGTGAGCAACTTACGATCACTTGTATTCGTGGATGCTGCTACAACCAAGATATGTATGAACACGGTCAACAAACGGAACCAGACTCTTGGGGTGATCATTGTTCCTCAACTCCGATCGATCTGCTTTCGTGGCAAAAAAAAAAGTTTTGCTTTTGGCAATCCCTCCTTCGCATTTCACACGCGCTGCATATTCCTGAAAGTCTCTCTCTTTCAATCTGGCAGGGCAAATTTCTTTTTGTTATTATGTCTGCATCTTTTGTTGACATTTTGCAACATTTTTGGGTGTTTGGTTAGTGATTGATCAACCAAAAATTAGTTGACTTGAACAAGTTTGACTATTTAATAATTGATTTAAATCTTATTAATATTACTAGTCTTTTCTATGCGCGATGCGTAAAAACATATGCCCAATATTTATATTTTTAAAAATAGTTAACAAATTTTTACTAATTATAACAATATTTATAAAACATTATATATTAGATTAATATAATAAATAAATTGTATTTCACTTAGATTAAAGAATATAAGAAAAGATATGGTAGATGCATGTGCATGGTAAAAGTAATGGAAAAGATAACGGAAGTTATAACGGAGTAAGGGTATTTTTGTCCAAAAAATTGTATAATACAACTCTAAAAGCACAATGTACAAAATGATTAGCATTAAAAACATGGACATAAATGAGGGGTATAACTTTGATTGAGACTTATTATGTTTTTAGATTATATTATATTATATTTTGATTTTGATGTGTGTTCAAATAATGATGTAAAAATAAATAGTAATAAATTAGTGACTTTCATTTATTAGATATTCATGAATTGACTGATCTATCACTAATTAAAAAATGAATTTAGTTATCAATCAAAAGATGTTACATTAAGGGTACGGTGTGTTTGGAAACTATGAAAATGACATTTGAAAAATATTTTCCATAAAATGAGTCATTTTTTAGAAAATATTTTTCTTTCTATTGTTTGGTTACATTTCAGAAAACTATCTTAAGGTTAGTGTGTTTGAATTATTTTACAGAAAATGAGCAGAATTGTATTAAAAATCAATATTATTTTTAAAAAGGTTTTTTTTTTTTTTTTTTTTTTTTTAAAGAGCAATGGTTTCATAAATAAATAAATTAATTAAAAAAAAAAAACAGGTTTCCGTAGCCGAAAACCAGAAAAGATTATGGTTTTCAACGGAAACTAGTAAATGGTTTTCGTTGGGAAACCAGTTAATCTGGTTTCCGTTGAGAACCAATATGGTTCCCAACAAAAACCAACGAAGATGATGGAGAATAGGAAAAAAAGTTACTTTGGGTTTTTCGGAAAATGATTTCCCCAAAAAAAGGGGAAGTCATGTTTCGAAAAAATGGACTTGTTTTCCATTTGACCGGAAATCAATTTCGATTAACCATCATGAAATTACTTTATTCGTGTATATAGTGTGTCTAATTATAATTCAGTATAACTATATTTAAGTATCGGTCTTATCGCTAACCCAGTATAGGTGTGGATGAACAGTTAGTGAACTAGAGATAAGACGAAGTACGGAAATTAACTCAAACAAACACGAAAGGCACACGATATTGTTTACCAAGTTCGATACAATAGTATCTACGTTTGGGGGGCCACCATCAGTGAGTCCAATCCGCTATCTCAACCAGTCAATCATACAGATGGCAAAGAGATCGCAATCTCAACCCAATGTGTTCTATACCTCACAAGGTAAGTATCCAATCTGATGAAGCTTATAGAGGATTATTGAGGCAGAGATCCATGCAATCAGCAGTCCAAAGAGTCCCTCATTTGGAGATCCACGTTATAGTTGTCCGTCTCACTAACTCATCCACCACTGCACCACATTTGTATGGAGTACGGTCCACAATTCAGCACTATGAAGAATGTCTTCTCAATAAGTCGCATTAGCTCTGAATATGAATGTATTGAGAAGAAGAAGATTCGGAGAATAAACTTTCAGTTGCACATAGAAGGAGCCTCTCGAATAGTGTAAAGTCTCTAGGCTTCAAGATCCTTCTATTATAAATAGGATCTTTGAATCTTGAATGACAAGTAATCTTCTAGGGTTTCCTTGTAGACAAAGATTACTTGCATGCCATGTCTCCGTTTTGGTAATTCTGACTTCATCAAGCATGGTTTCTAAAATCCTCAATATGGTAACTGTTCCGCCGGTCCTGAAGGAAAGTCGATGAAGATCACCAGCTAGTTTCCAAAATACGACTGGTGTAGGATCTGTTCTGTCAGAGTCTTCTTCAGTTTCTAAAATGTCTTATCTAATTTGCCATAATATAGCCAATCATAAAATAGAGTTTACAATATTAAACACTAACAAACTCCACATTGGTTTGGTATAAGACTTGTCCCTTCGTGAATTCCACAATTGACTAGGAAGCACGAGAGAGTGTCATACCAAGTTCTTGTCGCTTGTTTCAATCCATAAAAGGTGTTTTTCAGCTTGTAGACTTTATACAAACCTATTTCCGTTTGAAAACCTAGAGGTTGCTCCACATATACTTCTTCTTCAAGTAGACCATTGAGGAATACACTTTTAACATCCATTTGGAATACCTTGAAATCCTTGTATGCTGCAAAGGCTAAAAAGATTCGAATGGCCTCCAATCTGGCTACAGGAGTGAAGGTTTCATCAAAATCTATTCCTTCTTCCTGGCAGTAGCCTTTTGTAATGAGTTGAGCCTTATTCTTAACAACGAGTCGATCCCGGTCTTAAGCCCATAACCTAGAAAATGAGATATTTGTCAAATGACCTACGAGACTTTGTGAAGCAGGAGGTGGACACTTTACTAGCTGCAGGGCACATCCTAGAAGCTAAATATCCCAGCTGGCTGGCCAACGTGGTGTTAGTACCCAAGCTGCCTGCGTGGAGGATGTGTGTGGATTATATCGACCTCAACAAAGTGTGCCCAAAAGCCGGGCATGAAGGAAGTCGACCTCGCGGAGGGACGAGCGACGACCCACCGGCCAGTCTAAAACATCAAAGAAGCCCGACTCCCGGTCGACAGGGGGTTTTACGGGGGCTACCGCCGGTGAATCATGAGCTGTCGTCGGCGTAGAGATAGTGGCCGGAGGTGTGACAACCCAAAATTTAATTTTATAAATCCAATTTTAAGAAATTCCAAAATAGCCGTTTTCACTCCATTATTTTTTTTTTAAAAAAAAATAAATTGGTGTTTGAATAAATTATTTTGAGTTACATTTTAAATTTATTCAACACCGGAACTTATTTTAATTCCAAAATCCTAAACTTTCGGGTACTTCGTCTACCCAGTTTTAAACTGAGTAACCAATCTAAGTGAGACCGGGAGAAATCTGAACCAAGTGTTTGTTTAGAAATCATCTATGGAAAAATCTATTTTGACCCCAAACTATTTAAAATCACCTTTCTAGACTATGGTCCATGTTGCAAGGTGGACCAAAAGTTTTTCCTCCTTGTCTGATATTTCTAGAACAACCACCAAATTACCATCTTGCCCTCCACCAATCATTGAGTATCATCCTAGGGTTTTGCACCCTATAAAACTCACCTTATTCCCTCATTGATTCCCTGATCTCTTTCTTTGCCTCACCAAAGCTTTGTCTTCCAAGTAGAAAGAAGAACAACACAGTAAGTTTCATCATCCTTCTCCATTCAATCCTAGCCTTCCATTTCCCTTCTAGCTTTCATCCATTCTCTGAGGTTATAGTCTTAAGCTTTGTATGGTTTGTTTGGGGAGTTTAGGTGGTGAAGGAGGTGCTAGCTAAGTTGGGAGGATGAAGAGATCCAAGATAGGAGTGCAAGCTTCAAAGGTATAACCCCATGGACTCCCACTTAAGATTTTGGCTCTGTGAAGCCTTGTTTCTTAGGTAGAAATGAGTAGAAATGCTAGATTTTGATCTGTTTGAGCTAGAAAGTGATCTATTACTTGTCTATGATGTGTTGATAATGTTTTGGATGAGTTGGAATTGTCTGAGCTTTATTTGCATATGAAAGAAGATCATCTGGTGCACAGACAGTGTGCACCAGATAAAGTGACGGCACTAGCCAACGGCCCAACAAGGGGACCGTTGGCTAGAGCCGTGGCCGGCTGGGCCTAGGGCACGTCCTTAGGAGAGGGCCGTTGCCTAGGCCCCACAATCTAACGGCCTGAGGGGGCGGGCCATGCTGAGCCCCGCCCATGGTCCCTGAGTTATCTCTGTGCAGTGGCTGGGCCCTTGTGGCTCAGCTACGTGTTGTTTTGGACCAAGTGTCACGGGCCCTTGTGGCTCAGTACATCGGGGCCGTCTTGACGCACGTTTTGGCTTTGATTTCGTCGGATTTGGATTAGAAATGAGCATGTTATGATGGATTTAGTGATGAAATTGCTTCACAATATGATTTGTTTAAGTTCCCTGTATTAGGTATTGCTTTCTTTTATTCCCCTGATGCTATTTGAGTATTAAATAGAGAAGTATGAACACTTTGTGAATAAGTTTTATTAGAAAGCATGACTAGATGGTGTTGTATGATCAATGGAATTTGACGCCTAATTTGATGATAGAAATGTACAGAGCATGTCTTTTGCAACTAGTATGATTGTTTGTTCTTGAGAGTTCAATGTGATATATATATATATATATATATATATATATATATATATATATTTGAAGCATGTTGTACAGTAAATTGCATTCCAAGTAAATCATGTTTTAAAAGTGCATAAGTGGCCAACGTGAGCCTACGTATTATTTTTCAAAAATCTCATTCCACGTAGAGCATCTTTATCTTGTCTTTGAGAATGAGTTGAGAAGTATGTGCATGTCTTTTGCATAAGTTAAGTGTCGCATATATGAGATGCATGAGCGATATATCTATATATATCTATGGTGAGGAAAACCTTGTGTTTGGAGGACCCGTTTGGACTATGTCCTCTCAGATGAAAGTTATGGACATTGCGGTCCCAGTAAATGTAACGCGGTGTATTCCCACGTTACGAGGTTCGAAACTGCCCGCCAGGCTTGGAATCCTGGTCAGGGGGTGTGCACGCTAAATGTTCGATACTTGATTCCATAGAGTTTGAGCATAGAACCAAGAGAGTGGTTCGGTGGACGAGATGAATATTAGGCCGGCTAGACGCCGTGCCCGGATAGGTTCGTTCACGATACGGTGAAGTTCCTACCTCTTCCATTTGTACAAAAAGCGAGTCATTGCGACTCTAAGAAAAGAAAGAAAGAAAGCGAGTCATTGCGACTCTAAGAAAAGAAAGAAAGCAAGCGAGTCCTTGTGGCTCTATGAAACCTCTACAGAAAAGTATTCTATTTTACAAGCGAGTGTTGAGTATACTTATAGTATTGCACAAGATTGCATTTGAGTTTAGTATTGCACGAGATTGCATTTGAGTTTAGTATTGCACTAGATTGCATTGGAGTATAGTATTGCACGAGATTGCATAATGAGAATGTTTGCACTAGATTGCATAATGAGTATGATTAATCGGGATTGTATATTGAGCATGATTGCTTTAGTTGCATTTTGATATCTTATATATCTAGTTTGCAAGATGTGATCTTGAAAGCATGAAGATAATTTCGTATTGGTTGTTAGTATGAAATTGATTGATAGCATGAGTTCGTTATGAGAAATATGTGTTGGAATATTTATGTTGATGAGTTATTTATCGTTGAAGCATGCCTGTTAATATTATAGGTTGCGAGCATATCGAAAGTCTGTACTTCCTAAGTAATAAGTTGAGAAGCTTCCAGAACACGAAATCGCACTTTTAGTCCTCAATTAGTGCCTAAAATGCAATGTGATCCTCACTTCCCAATTTGGATAGAATTGGTCCCTCAATTTCAGGATCATCTTCATCACTCAGAGTTAAACCCTGAGCTTTCGGCTTACCGCCATAGCCATAGACACCTGGTTTTGCAGCAGATTGACTCTGGTGATGGTGGTGGTGGTCAAACGCCACCATGGACTGCTGTGCTTGCTGCTGCTGCTGAATGTGGTTAGGGTTTTAATGGTGGAGTGACATTTCTAGCCCAAGCATCCCAGACTCCATAAAAAGATCAAATCTTGACGACGACCCACCACTGAAAACTCTCGACTTTTACACAGAAAGAAGCCATCCTTTTGAGGAGCTTAGATGATAAAAATGCAATCTTTATTGCAAAATCATGGGCGTTTTTTGCAGCTTTTGCAGGGAATGAAGGAGAAAGGTACAGAAAAGAATTTTGGGTCGAGCTAAAATGGCATAAGTTTTGCTGTGTATTTGGATGGATGGATGGATTGTAGTTTTCAAGAATGGGGTTGCTGGGGATAGATAAAGAGGCATTTAATGGAGGAATAGTACGACATGTGTAGCTGGTTTTGAGGTTTGGAGGTTTTGGTTTTGGAGTGTGAAGGTTGAAACCACTGCCCATGGTTTTTATTCCCTTCGAGATATAGCCGGAGGAGAGAGATAGATAGATATAGAGAGAGACCACAGGATTCTCCAAAACCGTCTGTCACCTTTTAAACCTTTGTTTGATGTTGTTTTTTACCTAACTTTTATAGTATAAGTTTGGGGTGGATTGGATCTTGGCCGTTGAATGAGGGGAGGTGGCAGTGAGATGAGCGGTGGAAGGTGAAGATGCAGTTTTGTGAAGAGGACTCCCTTTGATGACACGATGTCATCTTATCTGTGAAAATTTGGGGTTTGTGGGGCCTTACGGCAGTGAGTTGTGGGGCCGGCAGGTTGGGGGAGGGAGATATTTTGGGGGCTGCGGGCTTGGGTTCAGTGTAAATGGGCTTACAGTGAAATAGTTGGGCTGTCATTTGTATCGTGAGGAATGGGCTCAGCCTGGCCCATTTAGCTTTAACCACATATGGACATGCGCCTTCCGGTCCATTTCAAATAATTAACTAAATGATCGGCACATTTATTGCCAGGGGCGGAGCCAGCATGGGGGCAGCTGCCCCCCTCCCCCCACCCCACCCCTATATTATCCTTGTATGTATATATGTATATATAGAACAGGTTTTAAGTATTAGTATAATAAAACACAAGAATTTAAACAAGTGTTGCTTCAGTTCAGTTGGTTGGGCGTGTGTTTGGCCTTTGGTAAGGTCTAGGGTTCGAATTTTGTTGTGCTTAAATAAGTTTTATGACTCAACACAATTTCATATATATAAAATGAGATGTGTACTTTATAATTTATTTTCTATTCTAATTATTTTATCAAATTAATTATGTTTCATATTTTATTATAAATATTTTTATAAAGTTTTGATATGGTTTATTTTTTACTTATATCCAAAAATATTTATAATTATACTTTAAGTGTTTCATTTTTGTAAAAACTATCTTTTTTTGTTGTAATGTTCTGCCCCCACTGACAAAACTTCCTGGCTCCGCCACTGTTTATTGCTTTCTTATAATGCACATTCATCTTTTTTATATGATGAGAGCAGGATGGGGGCCTTGCATTTTGGGAAAAGAATTTTCCTCATTTGAAATTCAAAATAGAAAAGAGAGAAACATATAAAACACAAATGAAATCTAAAAGACCTTGAATGGCATAGGGAAGGCAAGTATCCAAACATATAATACTATAGTTGCTTGTGGAGTTACTGGTACTGTTGCAATTTGAAAATTTTTTCTTCTACGTAGTTCATGATTGTCACAATATCCAGAAGCTACTAAAAGCACGCATACGAAAATAAGCATGTTGAGCGTCGCTTACTTAACATACAGATTTTCTATGCCATAGATGTTTCCTAGAGACTTTAGGCTAGGACAAGAGGCAGATGGTATCAAAATGAAATTAATAGTAAAGATTAAAACCCAAACCACAGGGGGCTAAAGAAGGATTGGAAAATCTCCATTCGCGCTGTCTATAGAGAGCAAAACAGGGTTGCAGATGCCTTAGCCGGTTACGGCGCCTTCCAAAGTGACGCTTGGACAACTTTCAGCTCGATCGTGCCCCGTCATTAGCAAAGAGGTTTACCTCCAAGATATAGCCCGTGTTACAAGTGCTCACAGAGTTAGGGAGACTCAACCAGTAGCTTGAGTCGCCCCCGGGTCTACCCGTCCTTTCGATAAAAAAAAAAAAAACAATACATAGAAAGTAATTTACTGTCATTAAATAATTCTTTTGAGTAAATACCACATATGGTCCCTCGAGTTTGGTGGCATCGCCATCAATGGTCCCTAACTTCCGTAATTACCATCCGTCATCCTCTGAGTTGTGAAAAGTTACCTTCTAGCGTCCTTCCGTTACTTCCTCCCGTCTTAGCCGTCAAAATGGAGGGTAATATTGTCATTTGACTTATACGAAAAGAGTTAATACCAGCCAAGGTCCCTCGAGTTTGGTGGTTTGGCCATCTTTAGTCCCAAACTTGGCCAAACAATATTAAAGAAAGTTGGTGGTTTCTCAACTTCCAATTCGAATTCCCTCTTCTCCTATACAATATTAAAGAAAATTTACAAATGTATAGGGGTCGTTTACTTCATTAAATAAAATTTACAAATGTATAGGGGTCGTTTACTTCATTAAATAAAATTTACAAATGTATAGGGGTCGTTTACTACAAATTTTTTCAATTTTGCATTTTTCCATTCCTCCAGATTTTTATTTCTCTAATTTTCTGATTTTATTAAATACACTCATCCTATATAGCATTTGCACATTTCTACAACAACAACAACAACAACAATAATAATTTAATAATTTAATAATAATAATAATAATAACAATAAATAATAGTAATAATAATAAGAATTTAATAACAATAACAATAACAATAACTGTTGGTTTTTGGGGTTTTGGGCCCAGGGAGGTCCAACACAACTTTGGTCGGTGGATTCACCTTTCACAACAGCTTCTAAAGAAATGAAGGGATAACTGAAAGAACAGTCGGAAATATGTGTCTTTCCTCACTGGGCATGGACTCGCCCCTCTTACAAGGGTGGAGGGGCCTTTATATAGTAGGCTCCTCTCCAGCCGAATTGAAGTACATTAAATATCGCCTTCAAGGCTAATTACACTATAAGACCGTTCGGGCGCTGTTACTGAATCGGCCAACGGCTCTTTGGACCCCTAACGGGCCATTTGGCCGAATCCTCTTGAATGCCGCATTGAGTGTTCCCCCAACGGCTCTTGGACCGACTTGAATGCTTTTTACCGGCTCCTGGGCCGAGTCTCCTTCCCCACTTGGGCCTGGGCCGACTCCTGGACTCTGCCCAGGTCACCACCGGGCTTTTATTTCACTAACTCATATCTTCTATCTTGGACTCCTTCTCTTTTGGGCCCATCTCCTTGGGCCGGGGTCCTCACCCCATCAATAACAATAATAATATGAATATTATTATAATAATAATAATAA